AGTATACGCGTATTCGGCCCAATCGGAATCGGCCCACCAGCCCGAGTCTTCATCGTAGTGTCCGTCGAGCGTGTTCGTGCAGTGATAACCGTCGCCTTGGTCGTCGGGCCACTGCGACGAGACTGAGCACGCGTCCGCGTCCGGGAACAGCTCCATGATGCACGTGGGCGCGGCCGTCGGGTCGCCCGTGGGCAGGCCCGTGGGCAGGCCCGTGGGCGCGGTCGTCGGGTCCGCCGTCGGGTCGCCCGTGGGCAGGCCCGTGGGCAGGCCCGTGGGCAGGCCCGTGGGCAGGTCCGTGGGCAGGTCCGTGGGCAGGTCCGTGGGCAGGTCCGTGGGCAGGTCCGTGGGCAGGTCCGTGGGCTTGGCCGTGGGCAGATCCGTGGGCAGATCCGTGGGCAGGTCCGTGGGCAGGTCCGTGGGCAGGTCCGTGGGCAGGTCCGTGGGCAGGTCCGTGGGCTTGGCCGTCGGTGCGGGAGTCGGCGACACGACCGCCACCGAAACGGTCGCTTTGGCGAGCGCGTCGAGCGTCTTCTCCTCGTCCACGCCGGCGCCTTTGAGCGTGTCCGCTGCCTCGGAGGACAGCTCGGCGGCCTGCTCCTGAAGCTCTTCGACGAACTCCTTGCTCTCCACGGCCTCTTCGAGCGCCTTCGTCGCCTCGGCCGCCGCGTCCTCCGCGGCCGAGACGTCTTCCGCGAAGGAGTAGCCGTCGAACGAGACTTCGGCGCCGTCCTCGTCCTGGAGCCGCCGCCGGCTCGACGTGCTCTTGGCCACGATGTTCGACACCTCGTCGTAGCCGCCCAACGAGATGATCGTCGCCTTGAACGCCGCTCGCACGTCCGCGTCCTCGTTCACGTCCGACGCCGAGAGCCCCGTCATGAAGAGCGACGTCGTCACCTTCGCCTGCGCTCCGGCGGGCGCCGCCGTAGTGGTCGTCTCCACGGGGGGCGCCGCCGTAGTGGTCGTCTCCGGCGGGATGATATACCCAAAGGCGTCCGCCGACGCCAGGAAGGTCGCGGCGAGGAGAAGTCGGGGAAACGTCGTCATCATGATGTCACGGGGGGTGTCCGAGAGGCCGCAGGAAAGTACGTGCGTGGTCGAGATTGCGGGTGCCTGCGGGGGAATCGACGCGGTTCCGCGGCGACGATCGACGGACGAGGCGCGCGAATCAGGGGTTGAAGACCATTCAGGCACGTCCGCCGACGGCCGGGAGGCCGGCCGCCGGCCGCGCCGCGGAAGAGCGAGTCGCTCTTCGCCGTCGTCGAGGTGCCCGCCGCGGACCACGCCGCCGGCGGGCCGCGAGGTGAGAGGCCGGGCTTGCATGCGCTTGGCGTGCACCGAGGACTCGAAGACGTAGCGGAGCGGGTCCCGGCGCGCCGGCCGCCGGCCGCGCCGCGGA